AGCCGCGCCCGGCTGGGGCCGGGGACCGCGCACCGCCGCGTCCCGCTGCGCCTGTGGCGTGTGCTGCGGCCGCGCACGCCTGTGTCACAGCACACGCACCACCCCGCGTTGCATAAACGCGCTCCCCCCACCCCTGCGGATGATGCTCCTGCACACGCTCGCTCCCGCACGCCCCTGGGGATGATGCTCCCGCACACGCACGATCCCGCACGCCCCTGTGGGTGCTGCTCGCTCCCGCACACACTCGCACACGCTCTGCGCTCCGCAGAACCCTGCGGGTGACGCTCCGCACAGCGTGGGGATGGCGCTCCCGCACACGCTCGCACCCACGCGTTTCCCCGGCTTCGCACACACCCCGCCGCAGGGCGCACTCACACGCCCTCCCCTCCCTCCCCAGCCGCGGGGCTCACCGGACCCGGGGATGCCGCCGGCTCGTTCCGCTCCTCTCCACTCCTCCCTGGCCGCGCTCCCGCTGCCGCGCTCCCGCCGCGCCCCCCGCACTCCCCCCACTCCCCGCACGGGGGGCGGCGGGGGAATCCCCCCTCCTCACCCTTTCCCCTTCCCTCCCCGTTCCCCGCCCCTAAGCTCCGCACACGCCGCCGTCCCGGCCCGCCGAGCCCCGCGGGCAGCACGGCGGGACCCCCGCTCGGGGCGGCCCCCGCGCCCCCTCACACGGCCCGGGGGGCCCGGCCCCGCCCCTCGCCCTGCCTCGGCCAATGGAAACGGCGCCTGGCGGGGCGGGGCCGGCTGCACCAATGGGCGGCGGCGGGAGGGGCGGAGCTCGCTCCGCGCTCCGCCATGGCCGCCGCGCTGCGAGCGTTCCTGCGGCCCGCTGCTGCCGCCGCCACTGCGCTGCCTCGAGCGCGCCTCCCGCCGCCGCTCCGCGCCCCCTGCGGCGCTCGGGGCTGCAGCGACGGTGAGCACCGGGACACCGGGGGGGCACCGCGGGGGGGTGGGCTTGGCCCAGCCCTGTGCTCAGCGCAGGGCACCGGGTCCCTGCACCGGGCACGGTCGTAGCCCCGGGCAATGCCCATCGACCTGCTCGTGGTCCTTGGGCTGTGCACTAGGCCACGACACCGGACACCGCGTCCCTACTCCGTGTGCGGTCCCAGCGCCGGGCACCGAGTCTCTGGGTTGTGCACCGGGGCCACAGCACCGGGCACCGGGACCTAGCGCAAGGTACGGTCCCGGCACCGGGCCTGTGCCTAGCGAGTTGCACGTGTTTCCGCAGCTGCGCTCCAGAGCCCATCACCGGGCACCGGGGCCCTGCGCCATGTATGGGCAGCGGCGCTGCATACCAGGGCACCGGCACTGCGGCCCGGCACCGGGCACCGGGGCCGCTGGACCGTGCACCCCGTCCCAGCACTGGGTCCCAGCACAGGATGGTCACGGGGCTTCATCTTCGCGGGCTAGGGTGGCACTGGGAGCCCCTCCGAGCCCGTCCCGCCGGCTGCCGGTGACCGCCGCCACCAAGGTCGCCCTTAAATAGCCTGGGGTGACGGTTGGCGGGGTGCGGCCGGGGCCCGCCCGGTGCCCGGCTGCCGGTGGCTAACGGGGCAGTGCTGCTGTGGCGGGCAGGGGCTCCATTCCGGTACCTGCTGGTGCAGAAGACGGGGGCAATGAAGAACGTGGGGCTGATCCAGCTGAACCGGCCGCAGGCGCTCAATGCGCTCTGCGAGGGACTGATGGCGGAGCTGGGGCGGGCCCTGGAGACCATGGAGTGCGACCCGAACGTGGGAGCCATCATCCTCACCGGCAGCCAGAAAGCCTTCGCAGGTAGGACCGTGGCCTCTGCTCACCCCAGAGTTTTGGAGGGGATTGGAGTCCCACTGCACTTTCCTTTGCAGCTGGTGCGGACATCAAGGAGATGCAGAAAAAGACCTTCCAGCAGTGCTACCGCGGTGGCTTCCTGGCCGGCTGGGACAAGGTCGCCACGGTCCGCAAACCCATCATTGCCGCCGTCAATGGCTACGCCGTGAGTGCCCCCCACACCTCCCTGCACCCCCTGTCCCCACCCTGGCACCCCTGACCCATCTGTGCCTCCCCATGCCAGCTGGGAGGCGGCTGCGAGCTGGCCATGATGTGCGACATCATCTATGCCGGGGAGAAGGCGCAGTTCGGGCAACCCGAAATCCTGCTGGGAACCATCCCAGGTGAGCAGCAGCACCTGCCAGGGGCTTCCATCCCAGCTGGGGTGGGAGCCCTCTCTGAACCTCTCCCCTCGATGCCCCAGGTGCTGGCGGCACGCAGAGGCTGACCAGGGCAGTGGGGAAGTCGCTGGCAATGGAGATGGTGCTCACCGGGGACCAGATTTCAGCACAGGAGGCCAAGGAGGCAGGTAGGGCTGTGGGACAGCCCTGGCACTGCAGGGATCTGGCAGAGAGCCATCCCCCCACGTCCCACTGCCCGTCCTAGGTCTGGTCAGCAAGGTCTACCCTGTGGACAAGCTGCTGGACGCAGCCATTGCCTGCGCTGAGAAGATCGCCAGGAACTCCAAGCTGGTGGCTGCCATGGCAAAGGAGTCAGTCAATGCTGGTAGGGGCTGGGGGCCGACTGGGAACCCCCTGGGGGGGCTGCAGGGCCAGGCAGAGGGGTCTCCCCAACTTCTCCCTTGCTTTCAGCCTTCGAAACGACGCTGACAGAGGGGAACAGGACAGAGAAGCGCCTCTTCTACGCCACCTTTGCCACCGTGAGTAGGGGGGTGAGGGATAACAGGCATCCCTCGTGGCATGAGGGACAACAGGGTCACTGCAGCCCCCCCCGAGGCTCACTGTCACCTCACCTCTCTGCTTGTCCCAGAGTGACCGCGAGGAGGGGATGACGGCATTCGTGGAGAAGCGCAAGGCCAAGTTCACCGACAGCTGAGCCCAGCAGCTGCAGGTCCCTGGGGTGGTGCAGGTCCCCACGGCCTCCTGCAGCCCGTCCACCCCTGCCTTACCCCGCCCAGGGGACCGGGACCCGTCGGCGAGCCATGCTCGGGGTGACAGCCAGCAGTGGGGACTGCCTCGGCCTTCGCTATTAAAGGGTTTTCTAGGTGCTGCTGGGACACGGGGCATCCTTGCTGCGAGGTCCTGCCGTGGCTGGGAAATGTTGGGGTTCACTGAGCCCCCCCACGCTCCCTCACTGGTCTCCATGATGGGCTGGGCAAGAGCAGCCTCGTGGAGCAAAGGGCTGGGTGCTCCCCAGCCTGTGGCACCTTCTGGGGCACAACCAATGTGCTGAGTTTGCCTCAGCCTCACCTGAACTGGGATGATGGGCTGAGTCTTCTGTCCTAGGGCATCATCCTCACCCTGCCTGGCGCCTTGGGGTAACCCTGAGGGAGTTCCTGCACATTTGGGGGCCCCAGCAGGTTTCTGGCAGCAATGAGGAGCCCACCAGGTTGTGGAGAAGGGATGGATTTATTGGTGACGCTCAAGGCTGGGTAGAGAGACAAATTTCCCTAGGAAACCCCAGGGGCAGCTCCCACCCCTCATTTCACAGCCCAGGCACATCTGCACTCAGCCATGGTGGATGTAGTCAAGATCCTCCTCTGGGCCATTCTGCACCTTTGGGGCTGGCATCCAGAATGGCACACGGGCATTGACCTCCCTGGCATTGTCCTGGGGGTGGTACAGGTGGTCACGATCCTCCTCCGGGCCATTCTGCACCTCTGGGACTGGCATCCAGAATGGCACACGGGTCTCCCTGGCATCATCCTGGGGCTGGTACAGGTGGTCACCATCCTCTTCTGGCCTTGCCTGGCCTTGGGGTGGGCCCCTCTGAGCCCAGGCACTGCTGGAGAAGACCTTTATACCTGGTTCACCCTCCTCTGGTGTTCCCACACCCAGGATGCTGGAAGAGAGAACAAAATCAAGGAGAGGTTGCCAAATACCCCCCTGTGCCAGGAGAGTCCCACCCCAGTGGGGTGCAGGGACCCTGGTGAGGTTGCCCACAGCCCAGGAAGCACCAGTTAGGACCTCAGGGTGCAAACTTAAATATTTGTTTCACAAAAGGAATAGAGAAACCAGCAGGATGGTCAGAGAGTTTGCATAACTTGGGGAGGGAGATGGAGCTGGGATTCCCTTCATTTTGGGGGGCACAAAGCAACAAGGGGGGCACAAAGCAACAATTTATTCCCTCCTGAAACACTTTCCCATTATTGGTTTTGGCAAGCCAGACGTGAGCACCCCTTACCTTTCCTCAGCCAAATCCTGCACTGTGGCCAGGTGCTTCCACCAGAAGCTGCTCAGAGCCTGTGGGGAGAAAGACAAGGGGATCCCGAGGGGTGGCAGGGGTCACACGTGGGTGCCCTCAGCAGAGGGGACAGCGGGAGGGCAGGGGAGGCAGGGCTCACCTGGGTGCTGCCGGGTGCCAGCAGGAGCAGGGCCGTGCCCAGCAGGATGGTCACACTGCGGAGCCCCATGGTCCTCGGGTGGAGAAGAGAGGGATGGCAGAGATGGTGGCACAAGCTGTGACACACCCTGTTCCCGTGGCCACAGCTCCTCCCTGACCCCAGCACCCCCCGTGCCCACCGGGCTGGCACAGACCTACCTGTCCGTGGCTGCCTTTTGTCACACCTGCCTCGCACTTTGCCCGCCCCGTGGCAGCCTGCTGGCACTGGGTGGATCCAGGTCCCGCTCCAGCCCATCCCGTGTCCCTCCTGTCCCTGGGTGGATCTCGATCCCGCTCCCGCCCATCCCGTGTCCCTCCTGTCCCTGAGTGGCTCCAGGGGCTGCTCCTGCCCATCCCGTGTCCCTCCTGTCCCTGGGTGGATTCCGATCCCGCCCATCCCGTGTCCCTCCTGTCCCTGGTGGATCCAGGTGCTGCTCCTGCCCATCCCATGTCCCTGGGTGTATCCAGGTCCCGCTCTCGCCCATCCCGTGTCCCTCCTGTCCCCGCCTGGATCCAGGTACCGCTCTCACCCATCCCGTGTCCCTCCTGTCCCTGGTGAATCCAGATCCCGCTCCTGCCCGTCCCGTGTCCCTCCTTTCCCTGGGTGAATCCAGGTCCCGCTGCCGCCCATCCCGAGTCCCTCCTGTCCCTGGTGGATCCACGTCCCGCCCATCCCGTGTCCCTCCCGGCCCCGATTCGATCCAGGTCCCGCTGCTCAGGGACATGGCACCCCGTGCACCTCTGGGCTCTCCAGGCAGCTCCGTGTCCTCCTGCCAGTGCACGATTTCTGGAGAGATGGGAAATTCAAGTTTTGCTTGAAATAAGGATTTTTGACAGCCACTGGCCAGCTGGGAAATAATTTGTTGGACTCTGGGAAAAGCTGGTGCCTAGGAGACAATCAGAAACTTCAATTTGTCTCCCAGCAGCAAGGACAGGCTTTCAGGGAGCCTGGGAAAAAGGAATTCCAAGGTCAGAACTCCTGAACACAGTGAGGAAGAGGAGGCTGGGCTGCTGCCTGACCTTTGCACTATCACATGCCAAGGCCTGCTTCCCCTTCCCAGCTATCCCAGTGTGGGGAAAGAGCCTCCTTCAGGGCTTTAGCGTTGGAAGTGATCTTTGGTCCCTGCTGAGAGATGTCCCTGGGCAGTTCTGTGGCTGCAGGCTTTGCCTGCTGGAGACAGCCCTCTGCAGAGCCCACGGAGCAGGGATTAGGGCTGGATGAGTTCTAAACAGAGCAAAGCTTTTTAAAACTCACTAGGAAATCTCCTACATCTCCGTAAACATCATTCCCTGCTCCCATTTGCAAGGATTTTTCAAAGCCCCTTTGATCTTCTATTCCTCACTGGGAGGGGGAAGGGAAAAAATTGCAATTATAGATCCTAAGCTTCTTGGATAAACATTGTTCCAGAAACTTTTTTTTTTTTTTTTTTTTCCCTTATGCACAATTTTTGAGTGTCAGGATTCACCAGTGAGTTTCCAGGTTTTTTCCAGGAGGATGAGATTACAAAAGGAAAGGTGAGAGGGAAAACAACCTCCATCCCAACCTGACTTTGGCAGCATTTGCAGCAAAGGGAGGGAGGTCCATTCCACAGGTCTGGGTTTCAAAACAGCACTTGTACTCACTATGAAGCAAGTTTGTAAAAATTCCTTTTATTTATTCACCTGCTTGGAAGTCACTTTATTTCAACTCCCTGTGAAAATGCTTCTTCTGGCCCAGACAGACCTTTCAGAGCAGGTGCCGGGGTGCAGAGGAGATTTCAGTGAGATGGAGGAAGTCAGAACTGAGAACCAATGGGGTTTTTCCCCCCATTTTCTCTTCTCAGTTATTCCAGCTTCCATACAGTCCCCTTGTCATCTTGTAACTTCTTCAATCCATTTTTTTACCCCCAAGAGGCAAAAAATAAAATACCCAATCCTGTGCAGCCTCAGCTGCAGGACAGTTTCCTTAACACCTTACCACATGTTCTGGGTTCTTCTTCCTCAAATATTGAGGATTCTTAACTCAGATGGGTGATGTTTGACATCAGGAACACGTGCCCAAATGCTGGCAGAGCTTTAACTGGTTTGGCTGGTTTATTCCAGAGTGGGAACTGGAAATATCCCTGGTGGCACTGGCTCCATGTTGTACAAATCTGCTGCACTGACCTTCAGACTTTTTTCCGTGGTCCTTTAAATCCTCGGGTGGCACCTTGTCCAAAACAAATTGTGGATGGGATCCTGGAAAGGGACACAGCCTTTAATCCATGTGAGGATCCAGCCCTCACAGGCTCACTGGGATGCTGAATGCTCTGTGGGGCATTTTAAGCTCCCAGAGTGAGAAAAGCAAGGTATGGGAGGAGCAGGACATGTAAATAATTTAAAGAATGGGTGAAATACTGGTTGGATTTCCGGTGTACTCTGCACATTCCTGTCCTGGAGGCTCTTTGCAGCAAGGTGTGTTGCCAAATGTTACACCTGGGCAGCTGCAGTGGTTGAGGATGAGGAGCAGGAGAGCAGAGGTAGAAACCTGCAATACTTTGGGAAGAGATCAGCTGGGCAGACAAACACAGCTCCCACAGCATACCCACATCCTGCTCTTCCTTATGCCTCCTTCTTTCAAAAATGGCTTTGGAAGCACACCTGGAATTCCTGCAGTGGTTAAGAATGAGGAGCAGGAGGGCAGAAGCAGCATCCTGCAATATCTTGGGAAGAGATCAGCTGGGCAGACAAACAGCTCCCACAGCCTGCTCTTCCTTACACCTCCTTCTTTCAAAAATGGCTTTGGAAGCACATGTGGGATTCCTGCAGTGGTTGAGGATGAGGAGCAGGAGAGCAGAAACAGCATCCTGCAATAGCTTGGGAAGAGATCAGCTGGGCAAACACAGCTCCCACAGCATACCCATGTCCTGCTCTTCCTTCCTTCTTTCAAAAATGGCTTTGGAAGCACTTTTGGGATTCCTGCAATGGTTAAGAATAAGGAGCAGGAGAGCAGAAGCAGCAACCTGCAATACCTTGGGAAGAGAGGGCAGATAAACACAGCTCCCACAGCATATCCATGTCCTGCTCTTCCTTCCTTCTCTCAAAAATGCCTTTGGAAGCACACCTGGAATTCCTGCAGTGGTTAAGAATGAGGAGCAGGAGAGCAGAAGCAGCAACCTGCAATACCTTGGGAAGAGATCAGCTGGGCAAACAAGCACAGCCTGCTCTTCCTTACACCTTCTTTCAAAAATGGCTTTGGAAGCACATGTGGGATTCCTGCAGTGGTTGAGGATGAGGAACAGGAGAGCAGAAACAGCATCCTGCAATAGCTTGGGAAGAGATCAGCTGGGCAAACACAGTTCCCACAGCATACCCATGTCCTGCTCTTCCTTACACCTCCTCCTTTCAAAAATGCCCTTGGAAGCACACCTGGGATTCCTGCCTGGTTTATCCTCAGCACAGAGCAGCCCAAGCCATGCTGCAGAGGGCTGAGAAGCTGGAGTGGTCCCAGCCCCCTTGCCCTGAGGCCAGAGTACTGACCTGGATTTGTAGAGCCGTTTCTCTGGCAGTGAGGGGCCAGGGCTGGCTGCAGGCTGGGAGATCTCCATGCTCTCCTCAGGCCCTGTTTCCATGGCATTCCCTTGGGATTGCTCTGCCCTCTCCACACTCACATCCATGGGAATGCTGCTGCCCTGCTCCACGGGAGAGTTTGTGTGCTTGGAGCCACTGCAGAGATAAAATTTTACATCCTGGCTCAGGAGCTGCCAGTGAGCCCAGAGCCAAGGAAATCAAAGGTGGTTCACGAGGAAACAAGTCCATCTGGGATGGATTCCTTCCCAATATCCCATCTCTACCTGCCCTCTGGGAATGGGAAGCCATTCCCTGTTTTCCTGGCACCCCATCCCTTGTAAAGAGTCTCTCCATGTTTCCCATAGCTCCCTCAGGCCACAGTGGGGTCACCTCAGAGCTGGACAACCCCAATTCCCTCAAGAGGAAAGTTCTGCAGTTACCTTTTCGCCTTCTTGGGCCTGTCAAACCGAAAGTCAGCAGGATACAGGTGCACAGTCACCAAGTGATCCTTCCTGTCCTTGCTGCTCCTGAACTTCTCCGTGCAGCCTTCCACCAGACACTGGTACTGCAAGGCAGGGAGGAGAAAGGGAAAAAAACCCACATAACTGGGAAAAACCAACCACACACCAACCACCAGGCAAGGGCTGGGCATGGCAGCTCACCATATTTTGCTTTTCAGCCATGATCTGGAAGAGGGAGTCGTGCCACTCCAAGATGTGGATGTCCAGGAGGTTCCCAGAGGGAAAGGAGCGCTTGCAGAAGGAGCAGACATTCCTGTGCAGGGTGTTGTAGTGGTGCTCATAGCCCTCCAGCGTGTCAAACACCTGGCTGCAGCCAGAGATGTGGCAGCTGAACTCGGACACCCTGCAGGGAAATCAGGGCTTTGAGTTAAATCAGAGCCCTGCAGGGAAATCAGGGCTTTGAGTTAAATCAGAGCCCTGCAGAGAAATCAGGGCTTTGAGTTAAATTAGAGCCCTGCAGGGAAATCAGGGCTTTAAGCTAAATCAGAGCCCTGCAGGGAAATAATGACTTTAAGCTAAATTAGAGCCTTATTTTCAGCTGCAAACATCCCCTCTAGATGACTTTATCTTGGATTGGACCACAAAGCTCATCTGACTCCAGCCCCTTGCCATGGGCAGGGACACCTTCCACCAGGCCCACACCTGCAGCCACAACATTTGTGGCTTTTTTTTTATGACTAATATTTAATATTAAATGCCAGGTGCAACGAACAAAGATCGTGATGGCGCCGGCAGATGCAAACTTATTTGCCATTGGAAACTTATTAACCATTACGGCTCCAGGATCATCTAGATCGTGCTCCTGTTGAAGGACAAACAAGCCATTAATTAATAAATTAGCTGTCTGGGCTAAAAGTTGCAGTTGTGGATGACAGCTCAGTCATCCAGCACAGTCCTGCTAGGATAAGAGGCATCCAAAGGTGAACCTCACACAACACTCAAAAGTACGTCCTGACTTTTAAACATGAGAGCAAGACCAGGATTCTCCCCCAGGCCTGGCCTTCCCGCTTGGACCAGCTGCAGGAACCCAGAGAAGCTGTGGGGATCCCTGGGAGTGCCCAAGGCCGGGCTGGACAGGGCTCGGAGCAGCCTGGGGTAGATGAAGGTGTCCGTGCCCATGGCAGGGGGGGAGAAATGAGATGATTTTCCAACCCAAACCATTCCTTGATGCCATGACGGGCAGACTCCGAGCCCGCCTCACTTACCTGGGCCTCTCGGCCACCTCCTCGAGGCTGGTGAGGACGCCCTGCAGGTAGAGGTGCCTGTGCACGTCCCCATCCTAGAGAGGAGCAGAGAGCGGCGCTATCTGTGGGGCGGGCAGGGCTCGGGGCACAGCGCGAACCCTGCAGCCCCGCAATAACAGCGGCCCCCTCACGGCCCCGCCTCACCTCCAGCAGCGGGTGCTGCGGGCCGAGCTGGAGGCGGCGGGGGGTGAAGGTGAAAGGCGGCATTGGGCGAGGGGCAGGCGGGGATGGGGGAGCCTGAGGGAGCGGCGGGAGCCCCTCACGGAGGAGCAGGCGGAGGCGCGGCGGCAGCGGCAGCATGGCGGGAAGGGGGGGAGGGGGGGAGGCGCGCTGGGCGCATGCGCGGGGGGGGGCGCTGCCAAGGTTACCGCGCCGCCCAGAGCGCATGCGCCGGACGCGCTTCCCGGCGCCAGCGGCGGCACTTCCGGGCGGGCAGGTAGGGATGGGATGAAATTAAATTAAATTTAATTTAATTAATAGATAGTGCATGATAGGGTAGAGCAGGGTATGGAGGGTGGGATGAGGTGCTGCCCGGGCCTGTAGGGTCATCCCGGCGATGGCGATCCCCTCGCTGGCTGTTGCGTGTGCGGTGCCCCCTCAGGCCCTCAGCCGAGCCAGCCCAGCTCCCGCAGTTCCTCCTCATTCCCTGACCCACAGACACTTCATCCAGAAATCCCTGCAGGATCACTGCCTCAGGTGGTGGGGAAGCTGGGCTTTTAAAGAGATTTAAGCTTAAACTGCACCAGCCTGTTCTAATGTGTTTTTTGAGTGGAGAGTTGCACCAAGGCTTGCAGGTGTGAAAAATGCATGTATTTATGATTGGCTTTTCGCAAATATTAAAATGAATACTATATGTGTTGTGTTAGAAAGTTATGCTGTATTAATTCTCTTAAGTAGTGTGTTAAATATAGTTTTAGGTTATAACAAAATGTTAAAATAGAAACTGTGCTATGTAGGATACTTTTTTTAAAGAAAGGACTCGCAGTGAGATAGCAGCCACAGGACACCTGAATCTTTCAGAGAAAAAGAATTTATTTCCCTCTTATCAGAAGAAATTAACTTCTTCCTGCCTCAGAGTTGCTGTTAGGATTTGGGGGAAGAAGTTGTCACTGCCCAGACAGAATCCTGTATTTGAATGGAATTTATGCATCATGGATGAGGTGTATGAATATTCAATGGGTGTTGCTTTTAAGGGTTAATCCTCTGTTAACGTGGGTCCTTTGTGGGGCTTATTTTGCCCAGAAATGGTACCCGGACATTCATAACTCTTTGTCTCTATTGTCTCATATTGTCCTAATTCAGATTGTCCAAATTATCATTACTCTAATTGTATTACTATTTTTATAACCATTTTATTACTATTAAACTTTTAAAATTTTAAAAACAAAGGATTGGCATTTTTCACACAGGGATCCCTTCCAGCCTAAGTGATTCCACGATCTTGGCAATACAAAAGTGTGTCCCTGTGCTTGATACATGGATCTGGATTGTATCTGCTTGGTACAGTCTGTGTCACATGAATCTCCTTATTTATTTCCATGATTCCTGACTCAGAGTCTTGCTTCTGATTTACAGAATCACAGGATGTTCTGAGCTGGAAGGCACCCACAAGGATCATCAAGTCCAGCTCTGAAGTGGATGGCCCATTCCAGGACTGGCCCCACAACCTGGGTGTTTTTAGCACCAGGCTCTGACCTGCTGAGCTCATCTCAGGGTTCTGTGTCAGTATTAAAGTTATTATTTAAGTACTCTGCAGCGTTTGAGTGAAGTTAGTGAAGTGGGCAGTGGAATAGGATGATGCTAAAGTTGGGAAAAGCGGCTTTGTGGTGATTTCAGAAGCAGCAGCAGGGTCAGCCTGTCAGGACACCAAGCAGTGCTTCCAGCATTCCTTCTGACTGAAAAAACCTCTGCTGGCCAACCTCAGCTTAAGATTCTCCCCCAGACTTAGAGTTCCTGGCTGGAGCTGTCCCAGCTGCAGCTGTGGCTGCCCCTGGATCCCTGGAATTGTCCAAGGCTGGGCTGGATGGTGCTTGGAGCACCCTGGGATAGTGGGAGCTGTCCCTGCCATGGCAGGGGGTGGAACAGAGGCTTTGAGACCACTGACCTAGAACAGAGCTAAAGAATAAAGCAGGGATTTATTAAAAGGATCTCCTCCATGGATCCACCTTGGGCAGCACAAGAGCCCAGCCAGGGCTGCACCTAAGGTGAACCAAAATGGGCACAAAATGGACATGGGGTCTCTCACTTTTATAAGTTCTGCTCCATTTGCATATTGGAGTTCATTGTCCAGTTACAGCTTTAGCCCATCCAGTCCCATCCTGCTTGTTTTTCTCTCTTCAATTCACCATTGTTTGTGCTCTTGGGCTGAGATTTGGATCATTTGTCCTTGGTCCCCAGCTAAGCAGGAATTGTTTTGTCTCCCTACTCTGTGCACAGAGCTCACCATCCCCTAATGTGAAGCTCAGAGATGCAAACTAAAGCAGCACAGACTCTGAAAAACACAAAATCTAAAACCTGAGGCACCAGAATGAGACGGGCTTTGAGTCTCTCTCCCAAACCATACTCAAACCCTGCTTGGTTTGCTTTCCTCCTCCTTCCTCCAGCCAAACATCTCCACACTCCAGAAGCATCTCCCTGCTGGGGCTGTTTTCCCTGGTGGATCTGTTTTCCCTGGTGGAGCTGTTTCCCCTGCAGCAGTGTGATGACCCCTGTGGTTTCCATGTCCCCAGGGCTGGTGGCAGGAGCTGGCAGCATGAGCGAGTTCCGCATCCACCACGACGTGAACGAGCTGCTGAGCCTGCTGCGCGTGCACGGCGGCGAGGGCGCCGAGGTCTACATCGAGCTGCTGCAGAAGAACCGCACGCCCTACGTCACCACCAACGTCTCTGCCCACAGTGCCAAGGTGCTGCCACCCTCTGATGGCAATAACAGCTCGACCTCTTGGTGTTCATCCAGGGAAAATGGGAAAAAGAGGGGTTGGTTGGGTCCGGGGTGGCGGGAAAAGGTGGAGTGGTTGAGGGAGAGGAGGAATGTTAGGACTGGGGTGTGGGGAAGTTCAAAGAAGGAGGTTTTGTGGGATATTGGGAGGGAGTTGTTCCCTGAGAAGCTGTGGCTGGCCCTGGATCCTTGGAAGTGTCCAAGGTGAGGTTGGACAGGGCTTGGAGCCACCTGGGATGGTGGAAAGTGTCCCTGCCAATGGAACAAGATCACCTTGAACTTCCCTTCCCTTCCCTTCCCTTCCCTTCCCTTCCCTTCCCTTCCCGGAACCTTCCCGGAACCTTCCCGGAACCTTCCCGGAACCTTCCCTTCCCGGAACCTTCCCGGAACCTCCCCTCCCCTCCCCTTCCCCTCCCCTTCCCCTCCCCTCCCCTTCCTTCCCCTTCCCCTTCCCCTTCCCCTTCCCCTTCCCCTTCCCCTTCCCCTTCCCTTCCCACAGGGCTTGGACCCACCTGGGATAGTGGAAGGTGTCCCTGCCTGTGGAACAAGATCACCTTGAAGTTCCCTTCCCACTCAAACCTTTCCTTGATTCCATGATTGTGGCATTCACATTCTCTGAACAGAGATTCTGTTCAGAATTCATTCTCTCTCCCAGGATTTTTCCTGGGAGAAGCTCAGAGAAGAAGAGAAAACAATTCTTATTTCTATCCACTGCTCCTGTTGTTGCACATGTGGAATGTGTTATGGAGATTGTTTACCCAGAGTGGTTTGTTAATTAGACACAGTGAAGATTGTTTTGATTCCTTGGCCAGTTGGGTCAAAGCTGTGTCCTGGCTGTCTCAGACAGTCACAGGTTTTTCTATAGTATCTCTTTTAGTACAGTATTCTTTAGTGTAGTGTCTCTTCAGAATGTAATTTAGTACAGTATTAATGTAATATAGTAAAACTAAATAAAGCAATTGTTCAGCCTTCTGAAATCATGGAGTCAGAGCACATTATTCCCTACACTGGGGTTGCTCTTCTACTGTACATGATGAAATGAAAATTGTATAAAATGCAATTATATGACTAAAACATTACTTTTTTCTTCTGAATATCTCCCAAATATTAGAGGTTAAAGCCTGGCACTCATGACCAGACTCATATACTTTTATAGCTATATAAATCATATAGCTTTTGTGGCTATAAGACTGCTTTTTGTTTTCATTTTTAAAAGCAATCCACCAATCAAGCTCAGGTGCTAGAAAGTCTCCAGCTCTGTCTGAAACTTGACATCTTGCTGAGCTGAGCTGCTTGTTTGCTCTAATTCCATTTCATTTTAATTATAACTCCATTTAATATTAACCTGCTGTTTTACAGGTGAAAATAGCAGAGTTTTCTCGAACTCCTGAAGATTTTTTAAAGAAGTATGATGAGCTGAAGTCTAAAAACACAAGACATCTGGACTCTTTAGTTTATCTGCTGTCCAAACTCACCGAAGACAAAGAGGTTGGTTCCTCCTTTAGAACTGGGTGTTGAGGAGAAGCAGCAATGCAATGTTTGATTTATGGTAAAGCTCAGTGAAATCTGTAAAAGCAACAAATGAGCAGTTCTAGCTTTCACTGAGTTATTAAAGCCCTGCTGAGGGTTATGCTCCTCTTGATAGAATCCACCAGGACGTGGAAAACTGGGACAGAGTTTGTGGTTAGATTCACACATGGTCATGTGTTTCTTGTTTCAGTTGTGCTGCCCTGCATTCACAAAACCTTTTCTTTGTTTCTCTATGTACAGACTCTCCACTACCTGCAGCAAAATGCAAAAGAAAGGGCAGAACTGGCAGCAAATGCAGGCACCAGCAGCAGCAGCAGCACGAATTTCTCCATCCCCTGCTCCACTTCCAAGATGTCTCTGCAGGAGCTGGAGGAGCTGCGCAAGCAGCTGGGCAGCGTCACAGCCAGCTCCAGTGCACAGCAGGTACAAAGCCCTTCCTTCCCAAGCTCTGGGCACAAAATCTGCCCTTCTGGCAGTCAGACGGTATTAAAACTTGGTGCTGTTCCTTGTAAAAGTGGCTTTTTTCTAATCCAGACAGTTGAGGTTACATTCCTTGAGGTTATTCTAAGGTAAAATTCACAGTTAAATTCTTCTCTGTGAGGTATCTGGAACAGGCCACCCAGAGCAGCTGTGGGTGTTTCATCCCAAGGCCAGGGTTTGGAGCAACCTGGCATCATGGAAAAGACACAAAGGAAGAGGAAAACCAGGCTTAGCAAACAGTTAAACATTTCATTAGCAGGAGGTTGTGAGGTCAGAGTGCAAAAGGGCTGTTTATTACTTAAATCCCAAATTCTGTTTCCTGTCATTATAAAAAACTGCACTTGACCTGCCAGACAAG